CTTAAGTGATATACCTAGCAGTGCTCTTTCCATCGCGTGTTGAGTGACTCTAAGTATATTCATATTCTTTTTTGTGATTGTCCATGTTTGTGCCGCATAAGTTAATATCGGAATAATGCATGCATCAAAAACTTTAGATCTAAGATGTAATTGAATTTGTTGATTTCTGAGTATATAGTTCAGTTTACCGAATGATGCCCAAGCTAACTTTCTTCTTCTTTTTATTTCTTCAGTCTGAATTTCCCTATTTAGGATTATTTTTTGTCCCAAGTATATATATTCTTCAACTTTTTCTATAACTTTATCGTTTATTATTGTCACGGTGTCTTCGGAGTGCATGACTTTTATTTTGTTTAAATTCATTTTCAGTCCTATTTAAGAAGATTCGGTATGAAGTTCTACAAGCATGGTTTGCATTTCTTGTAGGTCAGTAGCTATCAGGATTATGTCATCTGCAAATAGTAGATTACTGAGGTAGCGGCCATTGATGTTTATTCCCTTATATTTAAAATTTAGGTTTTTTAAAAACGTCCTCCAAAACTAAGGTGAACAGTTTGGGTGATAAAGTATCTCCCTGTTTGACTCCCCTGTTTAATGGTACAGGGTTCGTGTGTTCATTTTCATTTAGGTAGTATGTAGCTGTAGCTTGGTTCATAGTTTCTTTTATTAAGTTAATATATCTGCTGTCTATTCTACAATTTTGCATTGCGTTTATTACGGCCGTGTGTTCTATGGTATCGAAAGCTTTTTCGTAGTCTACAAATGCAAGGAAAACTGGAAACTTGTATTCGTTACATTTTTCTATTAATATTTTTGTGGTTAACAGGTGATCGGAAGTTGAATAGCCTTTTCTAAAATCTGCCTGTTCATATGGTTGGTATTCGTCTAATTTCCTTGTTAGTCGAGTAGTTATGACTTTGGTGAGTATTTTAAACAGGTGTGACAGTAGGCTGATGGGTCTGTAGTTTTCCAATTTTCGACTATCACCTTTCTTGTGCAATAAGATTACTTTAGAGTTGTTCCAGCTCTTACGGACTTTGCCCTGATGTAAACAACTGTCCACAAGCTTAGTTATAATTGCAATTAGTTCCTTACCTCCTTCTAATATCATATCTGTGGTAATACTATCTTCTCCTGCAGCTTTATTTCTCTTCATGTTTTCCAATGCTGTAGTTACCTCTGAAATTGTTACTTTTGGCATTATTTCTGATCCAACATTTTTTATTAATTTCCGTGCTGGTCTCATCTCATCATGTTGTTGATGTGATCTGTAAAGTTCTGTGTAAAATTCTTCTATTCGTGTCAGTATGTTTTCTCTACTTGTGATTTCATTTTCGTCTTTTCCTATTAATGATATCATCTGACGTCGTCCTAGTGTCGGTCTGAGACATTTCATACTCTTATTTTTTTCAATAGTTGTTGTTATTAATTTTTCGTTTTCTTTTCTTTTTTTTTGTCTGATTCCTTTTCTAATCTGCCTATTAAGTTCTCTATATTCGTCGGTTCCCCTTTTGTTAGATTTATTTAAGATCTTCCTTCTTTCTATTTGTTGTAATATTTCTTTGTCTAATTCATTGCATGTTGTTTTCGGTTTTTTCAGGTGCTGAAGGCTTTTATTTACTGTTTCGGTAATAAGGTTATTCAAATCATCAATATCATTGGAGTTTATCTGCTGCATGCTAACTTGATTTAATGCATGCACTATCTTTTTATTAAATTCACTATTTTTGATTTCTTCAGATGTCCATTTGTATCTTTTTTCATGTATTCTTTTTCTTTCTAGTTTTTTGTTAATTACTAGTTTTGTTCTTATTAGTCTATGATCGCTTCCTAGGTCAAACTGATTTAATACTGATACGTCTTCTACTAGGTCACTAGGTGATACTAATCATATGCGCTAATCAGTATAATTAAAATAACAAATTCGTTAAAATTCCTATACACATTATGAATAATTGTTTGGACTTTTCTATCTATGGACTATTTTTTTCAAGAAATATTACTTCTTTAATTTTTTTTATATCTGATTTTTTTTATTATTATTGTGTTAATGCCTCGATAACTAAGATCATTGGCATGGTACAGTCAAGTACCTAGTGTAGTGTGTGTATGTGTGTGTGTGTGTGTGTGTGTGTGGTGTGTGTGTGTGTGTGTGTGTGTGTGTGTGTGTGTGTGTGTGTGTGTGTGTGTGTGTAGAGTAATTGTCTTGATACTTAGCAAAGTCGATGTCATTGTCTTTGCTAAGAGACGCTAATTGTATCCGAACGTCTGCGGTCCCTCCGGTGAGTACCGATCGCACAAGGATAGAAATTATTTTCATTCATTAATTTTTAATATATATCTGAATTAAAAGATTGTATTTATTGACAAATCAAACCACTGAATAGAATATTAAAAAACCAAATTAATTATTATCTAGTTATGACCGTGGTTAAAGTCTTTGTTGATTATATGGCAAACTAACCTTTTATTTCCAAGAATTCTCTACTGGCTCCTTTTCTTCTTACTACTGTGATCTGCCCACCTTTTGCTCGTACTTTCAGTTGCTCTACACACGCCTGCAACAGTCTCTCCAAAAGCTCCTGGACCAAACTCCTATCTCACACGAACCCAATTTCTAGTAGAAAGGATTTTCACTTAATCGACTAGTACCAAATAAATCATACACCTGTTTGTTTATTACAGGATGTAAACACCTTTTACAATTCTTATTTGATAAGCACTCTGCTAACTTTTACTGCAGGATATGGAACAAAAACAGTTTGCTTCTTATAACGTTCAAACCCCAGTCATCTTCTGTTTCCTGGGCAAAACATCTTCTTTTACTTTGATCCCTACTTCTTTGCACCAATCAGACACACACACATCCTACATATAACGCCATCCCTTTCGACAAATCAAATTCTGTGAGTTGTCAAACACAAGCTCAATGCTATTATGATATCACATAACCTTGGTATTTGAAAATTTTACATAAATAAGATCTTTTCTTTGTTTCCAAGTTTCTAGAGACAATACAGCTAATGCTACTTTGGTTATTGTATACTTATCCTGACCACAAAACTTTCTAATTCTTGGTCCAATTTTTTTGTAATCACAAGAATTAAATCTTTTATTATAGATATGTCACATGTCACCTTAGCATTTCCGTTAAATACCATTCTCTCTCCTGTTGCTGACAAATAATGTAGAGCGTAGAACCATTTTAATTAATTTTAAACTGTTTTAGTGTAGTGTTTTGTACAATTTTATGTTAAAATTCATGTTTATCTCATTCTACGCTTGCTGGATAGCCCAAATTTGACGAAATGCCCCCGAAGATGCTGTAGTAAGCGAAAGTACTTGGGCAAGATTTAATTGTTAAAATTGTGCTCGATATTTGCCTTTCATTTTTCAAAGTTTATTCTAGAATTGGTATCTTTGGGCCATTAACATTAATCGTTTGTGAGAATTCCTCCATTATTATCATATATTAACGTACAAATATCTATTCTCCTTTCTACCTACTTTCAGTCATATATTATAGAGGAGTCATGTTTGAGGCAGAAAGGAGGAGTTTGTCTGCACTGTACGATTTTTTCGAGGTAGACTTTGGGTCCCTCGACATATTTAACTCTTTTTAGGCCTGTTTTATAACCCCAAAATTTCTGTCGCACTAACTAAAGTGTCCACTGATCTTTATTTTGCACTCCAGCTGCATCGGATAGAAGAATAATATGCTTGGTATTAGGATAATCTGCTAATTTATTGTAGATACAGTCAAAAATGAATGAATCAACACTACTTACTCCCTTTTTACATTGAAATTTTATAAAGAAATATACGTATGATATCTATCATTATGCACGTGTATATTGAATACATACATCCACAAAAACTCTTTTATAAAACTGTTTTGTTATGCTGAGCTTTGGCAACGGTAGATTTTGTGTCAAATTCCAGGACAATAATGCTACTGTCATCCATTGCCTTTCTCAAGTTATCATTTTTTGGCTTGGAATATACCTCGAGTCTCTTTTTATGGAGATTGTAATCGACACGCCCTTTATCATTTTGGTTCTTTTCTAGTTTGATTTCACACTCACGACAATAAACACATGTGTCAGTCTTCGGTTTTTTGAATGTAAAATTAGTTTCTTTGAAAAACTTAAAATAGGTCTTGTATTTTATAGTAAGATTATTTCCAGAAGTGTAACCAACTTTTGAAACTGCTCAAAAAGACTCTTAATCGTTAGTTCTGGGTTGTCGAAGTACAATCGGTTTGTTTTTACAAGTGCGTAATGACTTGATTTATGTGGAATAGATTTTAAATGTTCTAAAACCACAGAATAAATATACTCTGAAATTTTTCCTTGGTTTCCGTGTTTTCTAAACAATTTTTTTCTTTAATATTCTTACACGCTTCATTCCTACTTAATATAAGTCAACAAAAAAGAAACGAACCCCCTCTGTGGCTTGAACCTAAAGGTCGTAAGTTCGAATCTCACCTGGGTGGAGAAATTTTCGTTTATTAAAAATTAATGAATGAAAATAATTTCTATCCTTGTGCGATCGGTACTCACCGGAGGGACCGCAGACGTTCGGATACAATTAGCGTCTCTTAGCAAAGACAATGACGTCGACTTTGCTAAGTATCAAGACAATTACTCTACACACACACACACTACACACTACACTAGGTACCAGACTGTAAAATTCACCGTACCATGCCAATGACCATTAATTGTCGACGCATTAAACTCAATAAAAAATAAAAAAAAGAAACGGGACACGGGCACATTACAACCAGAAATTTTAAGCTTGTATTTCCAGTGATACTGTTTGCTAATTTTGGGATTTTCTATCTTTCTATCCCTTTCTGAAGGCTCCTCTAATGCCATATAACCTGCTAGAAGAGGGTCTTGTTCTTTTTTTGAACCATCATCATAAAAATAGTCAAATTACGGACAACAGAAAATATCTAACTCTGTACAGTTTTTCCCGTAAATTTTGACACATACTCCTGTCCACTCTGTGTCTTATATTTTGCCACGTTTTCTTTCCAATGGTCTGTCTGAACAATTTTGTTTTTGGCACCTTTTGACACCGCGTTATCTAAAATAGCTGTACCACTAGCCATTGCTTTAAAATACACTTACACTTACAGTTTAAATTATAATATAAGCTCAATCATATTGTCAGAAATTCACCAAAACAGAGTTGATTTAGAGGCACAAAATTTTTCTCAGCTGTACCAACACTTCACTAAAAAAAGTGTTCCAACGTAAAAAACTGTAATGTCGTAAAAAAAATTGGTGTTCTGACAGAGAACAACATAAAAAGTTCAATTGTGTGTTTTCCGGAAGAACACATAACATAGGCCTATTATAGACGCTTATTCTAGCGACCGCCTCAATAGTAATTATTACAGTTCATGTGCTGTCAAAGACAAAGGTAACTTGATATTTTAGTTTTGGTAAAGGTATGGACTAATTGCACTAATCAACTCTAATGACAATATTAAAATGTCCTAAATTTTGTAACTGTTATATTATTTTATTATGTACTTAAGTATTTTTATTATTTTTATATTTCGTATAAAATGAATAATGTAATCAAAAACCAATTTGTTTGGGAAAGATAGGACAGTTGTTGTTTGTTAAGCGATAGAAATTTAATTAGTTGTTGACACAAAAGCGAGATAAAGTGCATACCCAGGAAACCTGTAAAGGGAATATAGTTTAAATGTACAATTGTCACATATTGACCATGGTTTAGCTTTAAACGAGACATGTTAGCTCAACATTTCAATAAAAAATTGATGTACAGTGGAACCTCGATTATCCGTCAGGCACCGGACCAAGGGTATGACGGATAATCGAAAAGACGGTTAACAGAACATTAAAAAAAATTCATAGTATAAATCTCAAATTTTATTTGTATGTTTTATTTGACAATATAAGAGGGATTTATGTTAGTGCAGTTGAATCAATTTGATTTAAAATATTTCGAAATCTTTGTTTGTTTTATTGTTACTTCACGTTTTGCAATGGCTGAATTTCTTAATCAACATAAAATCTTTAAATCTATCTTATTTGCTTCTTCTTACTGAGAATACCACTCGATGAATTGTTGTATGTGCGATGCAGCTTCTCTAGCTTCTTTACGCAAATCTTTGTGAGTTGCAATAGCATCATCAACATCCCCACCGTCAAAGTCTGTGTTAGTTTCTGAATGAGTTTCGTCCGGCTTTGTTGCCATTTCGTCATCTGTAAGCAATCGATAGCCGTTTGCATCCTCATCACAAATTCACCATTCGTTTATGCTTTGAGCAACGAAAACACAACAGTTGATTCAGCCATAACTTCATTTGTTACCGCATCACGCTGGACTGTCACGGGGCATTTTCATCTTGAGTTGATTCAGGCCATACTTAATTCCACGCTCTTTCCAGCGTTACTTCCGAAACATCAGCCCAAGCAACCACAGCATTGTCGATTGCGTGTTTTAAATTGTATGCTTTCCAGTATTTCGGCAAAGAATATTCCTCTTCCATAACTAGGTTTTGAATATTTTTTTTTGTATCTTCTTTTGAATATTTCAATGGCCTTTGGTGGCAATTTTTTTGCTTGCAAGTATTGTCGAATGTCCGGTATAAAAACCTTAAAAATGATCCATGCATTATGTTGTGCGTAGTAGTTAACGGAATGCGCGTTGATATTTATTCCCCTTAAACAACTTGTTTTTTTGCTGTACCAATCAATAATAAAAGAAGGCGATGGTCACCACTTGCATTTGAACGGGCCATTACTGTGATTTGTTGCTTTTGCGTTTTAAATCCGGGTGCATATTTTTTAGACAGTACACCGAGTGTTTTCCTTGGCAATGCTTTGTAGTTTAAATCAGTTTCATCCGCATTGAATACTTGATCGCGTGTCAAACCATATTCATCGACCATAGCTTGAAACTTTCTTTTATATTTATCAACGACTTCAATACTTGCGGCGCTCAATTTTCCACCTTCGATTCTCCGTTCCCATTTACCGTGGGTGAAGCATCGCCAATCAATTTCATGTTGAAAAACAACGCTTTTTCGGCAACAATTGATCCAGACAAATAAACACCTTCGCTTCTTTTCTGAAACAACCACAAATAAAGAGCTGTGTCAAGTGATTCATTTGTGACTTTTTTCATTGTCACATTGTTTCATTTCACCCGGCCATCCAACGATTCCATTTGCGAAGCATACTTTTCAATTCCTTTAGCATTTTTCTTTAAATCATTGATTGTTTTGCTCGGAACATCATACTTTTTGCTCAATACGACTGCAGAAAAAACTTTCTTAAGTTCTGCATTTTTTTTTTCAATTGACAAAACAACACGTTTTCTTTTTGATGCTTCAGGTGTAAAAGGCTCCATTTTTCAAAACTTAATTGATCAAACGATCAAATCGATCAAACAAAAGTGACACAATCAATGTTCGAATTTCAATCAAACTGGTGAATTATGGTGACACACAGATATTGACTGTAATAATGATTGTGCTGTGCGGTTTTATTTTCGGCTTGCGATTATAAAAATATCTAAAAGCACGGTATAATTTATCATAACCTATTTAATTAAAATTTAATCCGAGTCGTGAATACGAACAAAAATCATTTACGTAAAAAATGCGGTGGTGACAAAACTACACATGTACATTTCAACGAATTTCGTTTGGCCTATCGTAATGCTCAAACAAAATGAATTGATGACTAAATTTTTACTTATGTAGTCAATATAACTTATGTATGGACCCTCACGGTTAACAGAGGTGACGGTTAATAGAGAGACGGATAATCGAGGTTCTACTGTACTTTTATTCGTTTTCGTTTTTTTGTCATCACTAATTTAACTGAGTCCATTGCGTCTATTGCGTTTAAAAACACTTCGATTTTGATAAATTGATACTTTTATATATATATATATATATATATATATATATATATATATATATATATATATATAAGAGTAAGAAAAAAGAAGTACTTGTGACTCGTTTGGAAAAAATATAACACTGTTTTTGATGGGTTGGAGTCAATAAAAGGGGCTATTTGTTGACTATTTTTTACTCGAGCTTTCAATTGTGATTACAATTTTTATCAAGAGCTTCTAAAAAATACAAAATGTCTTACAAAGTTGAACTAGAAATAAAAAATTTTTTGTTAACTCACCAAATAAAATTAGTTTTTTATATAAAACTACTGCTTACATAATAAATACAAAAAATATTAATAAAAAAATGTCTTATTCTAACAAATGTTTCTCTGAAAAATTTAGATGAAGTTTCTTAAGAAAAAAAAATTGAAATTATAAACAAATATAGAATAGCTACAACCAGCCTAAAACGTCATAAATACTAACTTAAAAATTTTTATTTTTGACATAGTGTCAAAAATAAAATTTTGTTTAAAAAATTCTTCTTTGTTTAGTAACAAAAAAGAAGAAGATTTATTCACCATTGATAGATGCCCGGAAAAATGTAACAAATACATGGAAAATTCAAAATGTGATATTTTACTGACTGCATAAATTAAATAGAAATTATATAATTATAAATTTTGCTTAAATTTTGAATTTCTGACCTTTTGTTTAAATTATTATCACTTTTGCTAATACAAACCATTTCCAAAAAAGTTCTTTTAAATTTATTACTTTCATTACATAAAATTTTAATATTATCAAAATCCATAATATGGTCTTTGTCTATTACATGCTCTGCCAAAGCACAAGATGGTTTCTTAATTCTACAATCACTCTTGTGAGAAATAATGCGATTAGAGAGATTTCTTCCAGTCTCACCAATATACTCAGCTTCACACTGAGTACAAACAATGCTGTATACTACATTTGTTTGATCTAATTTGTCTATAGGATATTTAGTTTTGGAATATAAAGATGAAATAGTTTTGATGTTCTTAATTCTTCTCATTAACTCCTAAATTAATACAAACATAAAGGTTATTGACAATATAAAAATAGCAACAAAGAACATCAAAACTATTTCATCTTTATATTCCAAAACTAAATATCCTATAGACAAATTAGATCAAACAAATGTAGTATACAGCATTGTTTGTACTCAGTGTGAAGCTGAGTATATTGGTGAGACTGGAAGAAATCTCTCTAATCGCATTATTTCTCACAAGAGTGATTGTAGAATTAAGAAACCATCTTGTGCTTTGGCAGAGCATGTAATAGACAAAGACCATATTATGGATTTTGATAATATTAAAAATTTTATGTAATGAAAGTAATAAATTTAAAAGAACTTTTTTGGAAATGGTTTGTATTAGCAAAAGTGATAATAATTTAAACAAAAGGTCAGAAATTCAAAATTTAAGCAAAATTTATAATTATATAATTTCTATTTAATTTATGCAGTCAGTAAAATATCACATTTTGAATTTTCCATGTATTTGTTACATTTTTCCGGGCATCTATCAATGGTGAATAAATCTTCTTCTTTTTTGTTACTAAACAAAGAAGAATTTTTTAAACAAAATTTTATTTTTGACACTATGTCAAAAATAAAAATTTTTAAGTTAGTATTTATGACGTTTTAGGCTGGTTGTAGCTATTCTATATTTGTTTATAATTTCAATTTTTTTTTTCTTAAGAAACTTCATCTAAATTTTTCAGAGAAACATTTGTTAGAATAAGACATTTTTTTATTAATATTTTTTGTATTTATTATGTAAGCAGTAGTTTTTATATAAAAAAACTAATTTTATTTGGTGAGTTAACAAAAAATTTTTTATTTCTAGTTCAACTTTGTAAGACATTTTGTATTTTTTAGAAGCTCTTGATAAAAATTGTAATCACAATTGAAAGCTCGAGTAAAAAATAGTCAACAAATAGCCCCTTTTATTGACTCCAACCCATCAAAAACAGTGTTATATATATATATATATATATATATATATATATATATATATATATATATATATATATATATATATACAATGATAATTCTTTGTTTGGCGTAGTTGGTTAATTGTATCTGATTATGTCTGATTTTGGATTTTAAGTATCTCCTTGGAAAAAAAATATAATAGAGTTGTCAGGAGATCTTGTGGCCACTTTATGAAATTTTAACTG